GCAGTGGAGGAAAACACAGGGCAGCTGAGAGAAAAACTGCAGCAGAGAGAAAAACTCTGCACACAGAGAAATCACTTAAAATAGTGGGACCATGGAATAATAGAACCATAGAATGGTTTCGGTTGGAAGGGACCTTAAAGCTCTTCCAGTTCCAATTCCCTGCCACGTGCAGGGACACCTTCCACTAGACTGGTTTGCTCAAAGTCTTGATGAGGAAGCTGGTGAGGAAGCTACCTGCTTCCCCTGTCGGAGTGGTGCCACATGGCAAATCTTTGGCCATACCAGGTGGGAAACCACCATGCACGCTGCCCAGCCCCAGCAGAGTGAGCTGCCCACCACCCTCTCCTCTCAGCTGCTCTGGTGGGCTCTGGTCTGTCTTCATCCCCAGGCCATTCAACAGGAGCTGGAATGATGTACAGTAGTCTTCAAAAAACTGGAGAAACGGCAGGTCAGTTGTCAAGGGCAAATCCCATAAGGCAGGTCCAGGTGAACAATGCACATCTTAATCCATGCAGGGACTTAAATCAAGGCTCAGACAGCACAGATCATACTTGTGATACGAGAAATGTTAAAGCCATAACCCCACAAATGACTTGGAGATCATCTGAGCTAACCACCTAATGGAAGCTCACTCCAAGATAAGGAAACTGGGATGGTGAACATGAGCCAAAAAATTCATTCATAGGGAAATGCTAACTGAATAGAAAGAGGCGGTGTGATTTCTGCATACAGTATCAGGGAGAGCAAGATAAATTACTGGATCGATATCTGATACCCACATTGTTAATCTGGAAAAGGTAGACAAAGACTTGCAAGGATGAGTCAAGTCTTGGGAAACCTTCCTGAGTGTGACAAACAGAAAGGGCTCCATCTTTCAGTTTATTAAATTGAAGTTTATGAATAATAGTCACAGAATAAAAATCCACCCATAAGGTGCAGATCACCGATAGCAAAACAGTGTCTAATTTTGCAGATAAGGACAAATCAAGATCCAGTGGTAGGAAATTGCAGGCATGGAAGACTGCGTCTGCAGATGACGCACAGGCTGCAATTGATGATAATGTTGCTATTTAAGAAGTGCTGGACTGTTTGCTAGAACCAGTCAAAAATTAGACACACTAAAGCTGTGCACTGTGGGGACCAGGTTGGAAGGGCTGGATCTTGCATAAAAATTCAGTGCCTTGCAGCTGCACGAAGTCCAGAGCAGCAGATTTTATAAGCAGCAGCCTGAGATGGCATTTTAGGACTGAAATTTAGGATGTGTACTCCTGTGTTAGAGCCAGAGGCATGTCTAACACCCATGTTTTCTTGGGTGTTGCCTTGGTGAACCCTAATCCTTCAGTCTGCTCAAAGAGGGAGGATACGCTAAGCTGTAAATTCGTATTTCAGGCAGAAATAGTAAAGTCAAGCAGCTTTGTGGCCTGCATGGGTATACTTCTTTTACTCCGGGTCCCAAATATTCCATCTTCACCGGGTGCAGCCTGCTGCCTGTGTATTACTGCACAAATTAGTTCCTGATCCTAGATAGAAAAGCTAGGGGCAAAAGAAGATCAAGATTGCTGGTGTCAGTCCTGCCCTTCCAAGAGGTAATTTGCTTCCACAGATTGTCCCTTCCCATGGAGAAGGAAATTGCACCAAAGACTGCAAAGGACATAATGGAAACCACAATGGAAATCAACCCAGCAAAGACCAGTGAACAGGAAAACACACTTCCCATGAACCCTGCCTCACATCTACAGCCCTGATCATCACTTTGCAGATGATGGGTGGCTTGAACAGACACAGCGCATCATCTGTGCTGTCTGCAATTGTGAATCCTCCCACATGAAGGAGGGTTGTAAGATCTGATAGAAAGAAGAAGTGAACCTGCAGCTAGCAGCCTCGTAAAGCATTTCTCCTTTTCTACCCTGAACTTGCAGTGTGTTTGCTTCCTGTGTTCTGAATTTCTCTGATTTAGGTGCACTAAAAGAAATGGCAGCAACAAAAGCAGAGCTGTGCTCCAGTGCATGTAATAAAACAAATCATGAGGGCGTCCCTAAGAAACTGCAAATATTTAATCATCAACAGCTTTGGGGCAGAATCAGTCGTATTAGATCACATCTGTACTAAGCGTAATTGCGAGCAGCCCTTAATAGAGGTGCTGGGCTCTCACTCAGTTCAGGCACTCACTTTCCTGGAAGCATCAATGATGTGCCATGGGTTTGCTTCAGTAACCTCTGCACCAAAGCACACTTTTCTGCGAAGCTCCAAGCCACGTGCTCTGAATCCCAGCCCATCCCATCCTCAGCGCTCCAGGGAAAGGAGCTCAAGAAATAATTAACTTTACCGCTTCCTGTAAAACCACTTGTTTTTCTAGGCCCCAGAAGGCAATCGCTGCCAACATTGCATGTGTGATAGTGATGGCTCAGATCTTTCACCTCCTTCTGCTGCTTCTGCAGACGGAGGGCAAGGCTGCCTTGTCTGATTGTCACAGACAGAGATATGCAAGTAATTGTTTTCCTGATCTGGCCAGCGATCCAGAAAAAAATAATTGAGGTTGACTGAAACCTACAACTTTGCAGAGCATTTTGTAAAGTAAAACAGTTCCTGTTGGGTTAAAATGCCCAATGAAATACCTTCTCTCACAGGAAGGGAAGTATTTTATCTTAGGGGAGTTGTTTTTAATCTGGTTTACAGGAGGGGGGAGTTTTACTCCATAGATGCTCACCTGGCTTATGTTGGAGCTGGGTGGGAACCCAGCACTCCTGTGACTCAAAAGCAAGATATAGGCTGGAAGGACACAACCTAGACTGGGCTATGGGGCAAGAAGGAGAGGACCTTATCCTCCTGAACTCATCCAGGACGCTGAGCTGTGAATCAGGTGAGGCAGAGTGCTCCATCCTGGTGTACAGGCATGTGCCAGTGACTGGGATCCTGTTAGGATTCATCTGCTTGAACATTGGTGCAGACGGAGATGTCTCCATCTGAGGAATCATCTAAAGTCCCATTATGGTCAACAGTGGGAAATCTTCTCTGCCAGAAAGCCACCAGTCTTGCTATCAGGGAGATATCTTAAGTAAGCAAAAGCAGTGACTTGCATACTTAAAGCTGTGTTTCTCTCTAGCTTGGCTGCATGCACCTAAACTGTATAAAACTGTGAGGTTTTATGCCTGGAAGCCCTGGTTTGTCAAGAGGATTGGGAGCATGAATAAGGGTCCTCTGCTTCTGGGAAAGGGAAATATTTGTTTTAGCCTTTTTCCACAATAAATTCCTCTTGTGTCCAATCAGAATCTCCCCAGGAGTGACTTGTGCCTATCACTCCTCATCTTTTTCATGTGACTCCTTGTAAAAAGGGGTGTCCGTTTGCCTTCTCCCATGGGCTACACGCTGGTTGTAGTGGTCTCCATCACTGTATAGCACACAGCATAGTGCTTCCGCATACTTTTGTCTCACAGTGTGTCCATCACCTTCCATGTCCTTCAGCACTAAAAGTATTTGCCTTTATTCTTCAAGACCTCTGATTTCTCCTACTTTCCACTTGGACTTCTCTTCACACCACGAATCTTAGAAGAAGGGCTTCATCAAGGATGTCCCAGTGGAGTGCTGGATCGGGGTAACCGTCCCAATCACATGGAGATGGTGAGTGTATTTGGGGAGGGAGTATAGCAACGTGAGCATGATGGGAGCACTAAGGTGCTGGGAACTCGGTGGGGTACTATCGGGAGCACATGAGGAAATATTAAACATGACATTTTTCCAGTGTGGCAAAGGCTTTTAACAGGACTAAGTACCTGAGCGTATGGAGAATGCCCCTACACGTGTCCTTGAGTTCTCAGCAATGACTACTGCAGATTTCATCCCAAAAAGACTTCTTCCTTGAAAGGAAGAAAGGAAAAGAAGAAACCCTGACTGGTTTCTTACTAAATATTTACTAAACCATATTCTAGCAATAAAAGTTAAAAGATCCCTCAAATTAGGATGCAAATCCAAGAGCTAGAAGACAAAAAGGAACAGTTCTGGCGAAAACTTTACCTCTGCTTATGTAAAGACCCAGATTTTTTCATGGGATCCAATTTAATTCCAAGCTAAAGCTGAACCTGAAATTTTTTGAAAACCAGAAATTCAAAGAGCAATTCTGGGGGGTAAGGTGAAAATTTGTTTGTCAAACCACAAACATTTCAATTTAAAACTGGAAATACCTTTTTTCTTTTTCAGTTCATCTCAAACTCTAAAAAGCAACAGGATTGGAAACCAAAGACTTTGACATTGCCTGAGTGTCCTTAATAAATGCCAAGCTGCAAAACACGTATGGATTTGCAAACCATTTTTATTGTTAATACATTTGCATTTTTACTGACTAAAAGGATTTCTACTAAATTTCAGCCAATTCCTTCTCTAATATTCTGCCTTCTGAACGCAATCATTTAATACTGATTTAAAGGCTGTGAAATGAAGGATGAAGAGCTGATATTTCTCTGTAACCTTTTGATTTTCTATATTCCGACTCCGGTCCATTTGATCCGTAACACCCAGATTGTGGCAGCAGAAGGGATTTTTTACATTTATTTTCATAATTCAATGTTTGTTTTAGAAAGAGGAGGGGAGGGAAAGCTGCCAGAGCTTCAGCCTGCCACAATATCAAATCTTACCATGGCTGGGGGAGGAAAAGAAGCTTTGGCATCTTTGCTGCAGTGCTAATTTGCATCGAGGAGGATCTTTACCCTTCGCAGCTAAAAAAGATGAAGTGCTAACTTCCAAAGTGACATTTTGGAATTTGTGTGGAGGTTCTCACGCTGCTGGGGCTGTGTTTAATGCTCTGTTTCTTTTATTAAGGTGGGGGATGTCAATTTTGTCCAGAGGAATAAATGCTGGGGGGGGGGGGGGGGGGTGTTGCTGGTGGTGTGTAACTCAGGAAGGGAAGTTTATCCCCACAATTAAATTGATGTGGTAGCAAAAAAATCTGGCTTTGGAAACCCAGGGGGTGGAAGGCGCTGACACGTTCCTCAGCACCGCTCTGCAAAGATCCCCTCATCCCCTACCAAAGGGCCCTTCTCACTCTTCTGGGACAAAATCGAGAGAGACGAAAAGCTTCATTTACTGACAGGGTGGCAAATGCTCTCAGGTCTGCAGCTGAGGTTCAGCTCCCCAGTTAGGACATTTTGCTTCAGTTCTGTTACAGGGCACCTGTGACCTGTGTGGAGAGATAAAGCTGCTTTTGGCCAAAGCATCGTTCAGTTCAGAGTGAGCACTGCAAAACATGTCAGAGAACAAAATAGGTGTCCTGGTTTTGCAGCTCTGCCTGGAAAAGGGTTAGATACAGCTTTTATGGCCAGACCTTCAGACTGTGGTTTCCACTGAGAGCATCCTGGTACATGTGTATCATGCTGATGCTGGGTTTCTGCCTGGTGCTGCCTTTGTGCCATGAGGACTTCCACAAGCTCCTAACTGCTGTCAAGCACATCCAGAAGGGTGTGTGTGTGTTGGAGCATGTGTGCATGTGTGTGATTGCAAGGTGGGGGAGATTCTCCCCTTGTCTACCTCTGCTGTTGTCACCCACTCCCCCCAGCAGTCTCCTTCGAAATGGAGCAGGCTGAAGGCTCAGGACAGTGTCTTTAATAATCCAGGTGCTCTTTTTCTAGTTACAATTCAGTAAGCATCCCTCTTCATTAAACATTAATGAGAAGCCTGAGTAATGGCTATCCATGTGATGCAAGTATGGGGTGGCCCTTGCAGCTCCCTGCTCATGCCAATCCAAACCCTTTATTCAAGGCATTTGCATAGTGTGCTCAGCACCCAGGTCCAGAGGGGCTCGCATGGAATACAGCATGAAATCACTGTCATGCAAGCAGTGAGCAGTGGACATTTCTCCTCAATGCTCATAAACTGGTGCAGAGAGCTTCTCTAACAATATTTATTGTGGGTTACAGACTTTTGTGCACCAGAAAGGCATGGTCCTGGGTAGAAAAGGTGTTGTGTGTTAAATGCAGTCTGGTAGAGAGGAGAGATTCTCACAGTCTTTGAAGGATTTTGGCCATTTCTAGAGATGCCATGAGGGAGAGGAGGGCCAAGCATGCTATGGCATCACGGAGATTGGGGTGCATACATAGTGCCTAAAAGCTGTACTCCCACTGCACTCCCCTACTCAGTGTCCCTTATTCAAGCTGCACCTGAATGAGTTCTACGCACTGCTTTGAGTCTGGGAAAATGTCTATTTTGGGTTCATAGACAACTCCAGGCTCTGCTGTAAGGGTCTGGTCACAGGATTGACGCTAAGGGGAACAGGTAACATTAGGGGAAGAATTACATTTTACCCCCAAAGCTTATTTGAATTTATGGGGAAAAAGTTTCAAGACTAATAGACAACTCTATAGGACTTCTTAAACTCTCTAAAAAGCTCCTATTTTCTGTCTGCTTCATTTCCAAGCCTGGTCACCAGGGACTGGTAGGAAATATCAGCAGATGATATAAGTCTGCTTCCTTCATGCACGGCTGATCGAGAGTGTCCCAGCTGGCTGCAGAGGCCAGATTGAAGGAACTATTTTCATGCAGCTCCGCAGTGGGTCATCATATGACTTGGGCTCATCTGGAAAAAGTAAAGGCAGAAAAATCTTTCTCTAATCCTCAGTTCTGCTCAGTCCTTTGGCAGCTAACAGTCCTGAGGAAGAGAGGCCATCAGGAAACCTGCTGAAGACCTGGAGGAAGCAAGAGGTGACCAAAGTCTGGAGAAGTGTTCATTAAGGTAAATGGATAGCAGAAAATCTCTGTTAATTCCTTGCACTGGAATATGGAAACAGTCCTTCACTGGGGCCTTTTGGGTGGTGGGAAGGACAAGTCAGAGGAACAGCCTTTGACTGAAGTCAGTGAGGAGGATTTTAGATTTTAGTCGATAAAGTGAATAATGACAGACAGTCAGGACCAGCTGCTGGTCACACGAGCATTATAAATGAGCTCAGATACGAAATTGCTGAGCTGCACACTGTGGCTTGTAACCCATTGCTTAAATTGGCCCCAGTACCAAAGGAATAAGAGGTAGCAAATGAGATGCCAGATTTTCAAGTGAACTCCTGGAGAAGCTGAGGCACCACAGAGCAGTGAGTCTGGCTTCTGCACTGGGACAGCTGGAAAAAGCTGGAGTGCAGAATAAATTAATAGTTATGGATGTGCAGTGGAAAGAAATGCTTCAGACATTTGTCTGAGCTCTTTGAAGGAATTGACAAGCACGTAGAGAAGGGTGAACCAGCTTGATATACAGCACATGGGTTTCCCAAATGCATCCTGCATGCTCTCTCATTAGGAGCTCCTCAAGAATTCACTGCCTTGGCATAAGTGGGAACATATCATATGTTAAAGGAGAGGAATAAAGAGCAGAAATAAATGAAATCAGTTGCTGGCAGTGCTCCCCAAAGGTCTGTGCTGAGGTCCAGGTGTATAATGTTCCTAAACTACCTGAAAAGCGAACAAACCAAAAGGAGACAGCATTTGCATATGAAGTGCTGTTACTGAGAACAGCCAAATCTGAAACTGGCTGTTAGGAAGAGGAGCAGTATTCAACAAAATAGAAGTCAGGAATTTATAAGGCACATACTAGTGCTGATGAAGACAAAAGAAAGCGCATGGGGAAATGAATCCTTTCCACATTAGTACAATGGCAAGCTCTAAAATAGCCCATGCTGGTCAAGAAGAGCTTGACATAGCTATGGAGGTATTAGTGCACTCTGGTTATCAGGAAGCAAAGGGCACTTGGTGAGTGCAAGGAACTGTGAGACACTGAACAAAATCAGACTCCACCAATTCATTGTCTCAGAGATGGGGTGGGGGGAGCTGAGATAAGACTCTTCCCTCCATTATCGCAAGGATTTGCATGAGGAATTGCTGCTCATTATCCCAAGAACTGTTGCAGACACGTGCAGTTGAAGAGCTGGCTGCAAGGCCAGGCACGTATAGTATGTGACATTGAGAACAGAGGTACTGCCTCAACTCGTTATAAAAGGGGGGGAAAGGCATCACCAAAAGCACACCTTCGAGGGGACAACTCCAGGAGGACACCTCCACGTGGGCACCCACCCACCTCCGATGACTACTACAGACTCCTGGGGCACTGCTCCGATACCGACTACAGATCCTGGCGGACTTCCACCACCTCCGACAAGGACAACAGACCCCCGGGACACGGCTGAATTCACGGTATCTCTCTCTCTGCACCTTAAATTCTTGCTTCATTCACATCTTTTTCCCGATCTGTCCTATCTCTATCCCTTTTTTACAGTAATTTCCCTTTTTATCAGAATTGTCTGTTTGTACTAAACCAGCTGATCGATCCCGGTCCTGAACCTCGTTTGTGTCTTCATTTCACTCTTGGGATCAAGAAGGAAAAGGGTCCGACACTGGGGTTTTCTCCAGTCGGACCCTGACATTAAATTGGTGCCACGGACAGGATCCCTCGCAGTGGAAAGTACCGCAGTGTCCCGTGAAGTGCAAGGTGTCACCTGTGAGCTTCTTGGGGACTTAAGGGCTGGGTTTTGTTGGAGCAGAACGTGCTGCCTCCCTGAGCCGATTGTACCATTGGAAATGAGCAGCAGTGAAGCTGCGCCTCAGGGTAGGGATGTGCTGTGTGCTCTGTTACAGAAACAAGGCTCGCCGCTCTGCCAGGGGTAGAGGGGCCCAGAGACATGGGCCCGATGTGCACAGTGAAAGAGAGCGAACAAGCGCCCTGCGAAAGGACGCGGCACCGCGGGCCGGGAAGGGGGAATGGATCGTCTGTGCGGCGCTGGGCGCAGTTCGGCTGCTGCAGTGAGGATGGAGAACAGCAGCAAACAGAGAATCTCGGTGCGCACAAACTTCACCAGCCCCGGTCCGAGCCCTGCGGGACCCGGTGCTCAACCTAAAAGAGCAGTGAGACAAAGAGAAGAACCAGGCGAGCTACGTGCAGTTAGCGCTGAAAGAGCAACTCCTGGCAGGGCAAAGCGCTCTGCACGGCCCGAGAGAACAATGGAACCCCCCCAGTGACCTGGAAGAGGCGAGACTGAGGTGAGAAAAATAAAACGTTCCTGCCACTTCTCTCTGCCCCGTGATGAAAACGGGATATACTTCCGAAGGGGGAGAGGACGAGTTCCCACAAATTCCCACCAAGGAGTGTTGCAACAAACATGCAGGTTGTAAGTACCGCTTCTCCTGATGGAAATAAACAAATCAGATTAATGCGTCCACAGAAACCATCAGTTGTAGAAATAGTTTGAACCACTGCTCCTTTTATTTATTTCTTGGCTTCTTTTGCACTATCTCTTTTCTAAGACCACCTGGATTCAGAACAGTCTTTGAGACACGGGGTGGTGTGTCAGTGAAACCTGACGGGAGCAAGGACCAGAGCAGTATGAACTGGAACACCCAGGGAACATTTGCACCCTGAAGGCCATGTGCCTTTCTGTTGTCTCACTCCAGGAACACTGCAGGAGAACTAATGTTATTCTTTTTATTTCTTTGTTTACAGAGGTGCTGGGAGTTACCATATGGCAAAATCTAAACTTCCATAGAGACACAAGCACTGGAGATAGGATCCAGCCCATTCCCTGGAGATGGCTCCAGTAATGATAAGTGTATCTGGATCATCCAGGACCATTCTTCATAGCCAAGGATCTTGAGACATAAGTCACCAGTCTTCCTTCAAGAAGGATCAGCTAAACAGGATACAGCCATGTGGCAGCCCTGGAGTCCATGCAGTCCAGGAGGACCCTTTCTGTGGTTCAGCTGCATGGATATGGATATGTGTTGCTTGAAGGCAAAGCAAGCAAATTCAAATTTTCCTGGAAGTAGGCATGTTCTCACTTTGGCTCCATCACCAACAGGTCTTACAGGCATATCCATCCAGTGTATCAGATGGGAGGTGATACTCATGTGGAAGTGGCAGTCCTTCAGCTCAGGGGAGCAACTTTCCAAATACAAGAGACTTTCCTCTTTCCAAGCCTCAAAGCAGCTGTGTCAGTCAGGACAATCAAAGATAGAGGACATGGGCAAACCCCAGCACTATGGTTCTGAGATGTTAAAACTGTGATGTTTCCGGTGCTGTTATCATTGTAAGCCATGTAGCAACATGGTCCTCGTGCATGGCTAGGGCACGTGGCACCACACAGTACCTATAGTAGTATGTAGTACAGTATGCTCAGTAGAAACTGCTACTTCTACTGGCAGGCAGGGTCTTGCAGGGACTGAAACTCATTCAAATTAGACTTGTGCTGAAAGGATTTCTGGTAAACACTCTGATACAGAATCTCATTAGCAAACACAGCACATTACCCCGTCAGCAGCAGTAGCAAACAGCAGTCGCTTCATGAGGATGTCAGATCAGCTGCTTAGCTTTGTAACAAATATACCATGGTTCATTATCTTTTATATGAATCCACCTCTCCAGTGCTTTTAAGGCCTGGTGAAACAGGCATTTGCTATTTGCTTTTTGCTCATGCGGCACCTAATTCTCCAATTATAAATTTGCATTGGAGCCCCCGTACATGAAGTCTGAAGCCAAAACCCTGCACAGGGCAGGGGCTTCCCAGCTGACCAGATCTCTGCTTTCAGCAGGGCTCCTTTGTAAAGTCTTTGGTGGCAGCATGGAAGTGGCAGGATCATCTCAGCACCATCTATCTCCCTGTTTCATCATGAAGTGGGGATGATTTTGCTCTCAGAAAAACTCAAATTAAGAAATGAGCAGTCTCTTTGATGTTAAGGAAACATGAAATGTTGCATGTGGAGAATCCATGTGCACTCTTCGTATAGACTGCTGAGGACATCTTTGTCCATTGCCTTGCTGTCCTGGAAATTCACCCTGGGTGCTAGAATAGGAACAGACTCAGACGCACAGGTCAGGGAAAACTTTGAAAAGCTTGAAACCTCTTTATGCAGCTCTCTTGGTGGTGTCCATACGGTAAAGCAGTCTGACGTTTAACAGTTATTCACTTGGAATAACTATCACAGCTCATGCGTTGTAATGCACCATCATAAAGCCATGCCAATTAAACATTTATAACATGCCATCAATTATTACAGAACAGTGCCCAGAGATTTATATCTAAAACAGATCCTTCAAGCCTGTTCCATTCATATGCAACTGATTTGATAGTGATCAACAGTTGGGGGACACTATTGTACTCATTCTTGTTCCAAGTCCCAGGAAGTATGGGAAGTCCATGTTCAGTCCTAGCTTCAGTCTGCCCAGGGAACACTTTCATCATGCTCAGAAAGGAAAAGAAGGAAAAAGAAAAGAAAACAGCTGGGAGGGGATAAAGACCAAGAACTGCTTAATGACCTCTGCAGGGACTGCAAGTATTCCAGAGCAGATTCAACAGCAATCTCTGTGATGTGCAGGAGGTGGATCTAGGCAGAGGGGAAGAAGATGTCACTTGAAATGTGGAGAGAAAGGCAAACATTTGCTGCCCCAACTGTTTCTGGAGGGGAAGTTGGATTCTTAATAAAGTGCATTGATTTCTGAAGGTACCTGGGTCCTGTGGGCACACAAAATCATGTAGATAAAACTTGAGAGCTTCAATGAAAAGTCAGCTCCAAGAAATAAGATTCTATCTGCAGCTATTTCCCTCCTGATCCAATACTGTTAGAGCCGGTTCGTATTTCCCCAGTTAAGCTGTATTTTGATTGAGAATTGAATATTTTTCACTAAACTACTTTTTTTCCCCCAAGTTTCTCCTTGTGCAGACTTTGAATTGTAGCAGAAACATTTCAGATAAACCCCTCTTTTTAATTTTGAAATGAAGAATGGAAAATGCTCAGGGAAACATTAAAATCACTTTCCATCGACATTTTCATTCAAAGGAAACCCATCACTCAACCAGCACTGAAAGCAGTATTTCCCCAGCTACTTCCACCTCTTTAGGCTGTATTTTTCTATAAGGTTGCTAATGCCTAAAAGCTCAAGAGCCCCAGAGCCCCTTTGTGCCAGGCAAGTCCTGGTGGACTCACGCAGCGGTGGGTCTCCCATAGCTCCTTCTCATGAGAGCAGGAGGCCAATGCTGCACATGGCAAGGCTGGGGCTACATGGCAGAATGTGCACCATGCTCTAACATCGGATGCGGGCTGTGTGAGTGTACAATGGGGTGTTTGGCAGGTGCTTGGCAGCCTGTGCACAACCCTAGGGCCTCTCTCAGTGCTCCAGCATCTCTGGAGCTTCATACAGTTATCAGAGACACAGCTTGGTTGGGGCTGGAAGGGACCTTAAAGCTCCCCCAGTTCCAACCCCTGCCATGGGCAGGGACCCCTTCCACTGGAGCAGCTTGCTCCAAGCCCCTGTGTCCAACCTGGCCTTGAACACTGCCAGGGATGGGGCAGCCACAGCTTCTCTGGGCACCCTGTGCCAGCGCCTCAGCACCCTCACAGGGAAGAGCTTCTGCCTAAGAGCTCAGCTCAGTCTCCCCTCAGGCAGGTTAAAGCCATTCCCCTTGGCCTGTCCCTACAGGCCCTTGTCCCAAGCCCCTCTCCAGGTTTCCTGCAGCCCCTTCAGGCACTGGAGCTGCTCTCAGGTCTCCCCTTCAGGAGCCTTCTCTTCTCCAGGCTGACCCAGCCCAGCTCTCTCAGCCTGGCTCCAGAGCAGAGCTGCTCCAGCCCTCGCAGCAGCTCCATGGCCTCCTCTGCACTCACTCCAACAGGTCCAACCATGGGAGAGAAAAGGCCAAGACTCTCCAGACAAAACGGGAGATGCAAGGCGGAGACACCACCTCAGGTGAGCTGCAGAAAGGGACAGGGAAGACAGGTACAGCATTGAAGGCACAAGTGGGACATAAAGGAGAGAAACCTGATGGTGAAAGGAGCAGGGGAGGTTCTGGAGTCTGGACAGTTTCTCTACACAGTAATTATGGCACATCGTGTAAAGGAGCAGGGAAAGGCAGCGAGGGGGCATGAGGGAACCTCGCAGCAAAATCAATTAATACTTGAGCGAGTCAGCTGCTATTGAATGAGACCTGAATTTCACATCATTGCTGGAAACCTCGAAATAAACCGTTCCCCTTCCAGTGTGTCAGAAATTCTGCCTTACAGAAATTCTGCTGAATGTTGTGGGGGCAGAAAAGGGAAAGGAAATGGACTCCCCAGGTCCCCTCCTCTTGCGTCTTTGCAGCCCTTTCTTTCTGCGCAGTCCCTGGGTCAGGAAGGGCTGTTTTCACCCGCGCTGTTTTCACCCAGCCTGCGTCGGGAGGGAACGGAGTTCCCATGGGATGCAGAGCAGCAGAATGACAATTTCTGATTCAGTGCCTGCAGTCAGCTTAGCGTCCTGCTGCTTGTTAGGAGGGGGAAGCATCTGGCTCAGTGCGCTCCTCAGGGAGGCTCCTGCCCTGCTTTAACCCCTAAAAGGGTGCTGCAGAGCACAGAGCTCAGGACTGGGTGGCAGGGGAGGGGGCTGGTGGGAGTTCAGATCCACTGATGGCTTGGGCAGGCTGAATTTCAGTTGTAGCCAGCTTCTAAGCAGAGCAGGGGGATGTTTATAATGGAATTTAATGAAGCAGAGAATCGGTGTTGTTCTCTGCATCAAAGGGGCTTCCAGTTACAGGGGAATGCAAAGCTTTTCACTAGCAAATGAGCACAGAAATACCTGCTTGATAATCCCAGGCATTTACTGAGCACTTCCTAACTTCAAACGGCTTTGCCAGCCCTAGAGGAAAGCCTCAGAGTGCTGCCTGAGCTTTGGCCATTGCGTTTGCACCTCAGTGGCAACACTGAGACCAGCTACTGCAGCTATAGGGCACCCTGGCTTGTCCACTGCTGCTAGCCCATCCCGGGGTACATTGAGCCCTGCTCACTGCTCCACCTTTATTTCCATCTATCTGACTGCAGCTGGGACACAGGCAGTGTTAACAGCACTGCACAGTTTTAGCACTGCAATCTGCCCATCCATCACTTGTCTGAGGAGGTCCTGAATTGTTGCTGCTGTGTTTTACCAGGGGTTCTTCCCAGAGTTAGGTAACCCCTGAAGAAGGGCTGGCTGTCCATCCAAACCTCTCTCACCCTTGAAAACCCTAAACCTCCTCCTTCTCACCTGGGTTCAGATACAGCTTACCCAAGCCCAAAGTCCTTTGGGCAGTTTCAGCAAAGCAGAACCAAGGCAGGACCTGTAACCTGTGGTGGGGTTTCATTTTGTTTATAACTCACTCACTACATGCAGACTGAGCTGACAATTCCATCCCACACGTGTAAATAACACAGTTTTTACCCATGTCTGAACAACTGGAATCTTTATGAGCTTGTGGAAGATTTCCTTAATGGATCTATAGAGCTGAGAGAGTTAATTACTTCTGCAGTAGATTAGTCCTAGAATGTTTATTTCAGATGCAGACAGGCTGAACATAATATAAGATGTATTTATTCTCTCTGATAAAATAAACACACAAGTGGCCCCACTTACCACATGCTTCCCACCACCCCCCTCCAGGACCTGCTCTGGGTAGTCCCATGGTATGAATCCTCCACCCCTTTCCATAGTAAAGGGCCTCAAGGCTCCTCTTCTGACATCCCATCTTCCTCTGCTTTCAACATCCTTCAAGGAAAATCTAGTGTCTTCTAACAGGGTAGCTATTACCAAGTATATCTGCATTCACACTCATGGGTCTCATTTACCCTGCCAGGTCCTGGGCATGGGCAATGTCCCTCTGCATGTTTGCAATTGTAAATGGATGGATGGATGGATGGATGGATGGATGGATGGATGGATGGATGGATGGATGGGTGGATGGATGGATGGATGGATGGATGGATGGATGGATGGATGGATGGATGGATGGATGGATGGATGGATGGACGGACTGATGGATAAATGGATGGATGGATGGATGGATGGATGGATGGATGGATGGATGGATGGATGGAAGGATGGATGGATAAATGGTGTGGGGCTGACAGTGATTATCAT